TAGACCTAAATCCGAGATCTACAGCTCTAAATATGACCCAATTATCGAATAATGTTCTTATTTAGATTGCACCATCATCTATTTTCTATGTTTGACCATCTCTTTGTCCTTTCAATTTCAGTTCTTAAACTCATCAATTAATCCTTTCATTTATGTGATAGGCTTGCATTTAAAATGAATAGTTACCACGAATTATAAAACATGCTTTAGTTAAGGAGTTATTGATACTTTAAGTGCAAAATGATGATATAAAACCTTGATAAAAATACACTTTTAAGTACTAATCAGCTCTCATACCTCCTTGTAAGAGTGTTGTTGGTTGTTGTTAGGTGTTTATAATCAATATTAATTATGATGGGTCTATTAAGCGATTGATTGCAAAATGATACTTTCAACAATATGGTATGAATTATGAGAAATTTGCCTTTGTTTAAAAAATGACTACTATTTGTATTTTAATTGTCATAGCTTTGGTTTATCGGTGGCATATCTCTCAACTTGGTACTAAAATGCCTTCTTAAATGAAGAACTTCAAGAAGAAGTTTATATGATGCCTTCTCCTGGTATTTCATATGACTCTAGGTATGTTTGTAAGCTCAATAAAGCATTATATGGTCTCAAACAAGCACCCTATGCTTGGTTTGATAAATTTTTTATTATGATCTTGTCTCTTAAATTTATTTCTAGTGGTCATGATTCTGATATTTTTATTAAGTGCACTGATGCAGGTCGTGTATCATTATGTCCTTATATGTTAATGACATGGTTATTATTAGTGATAATATTAATGGTATCTCAGTTTGAAGACAGAGTTGGCTAAACAATTTAAAATGAAAGATTTGGGTTATCTTCAATATTTCCTGGGTATTAAGGTAACTTACTCACCTAGAGGTTACCTTCTTTCTCAATTAAAATATGTTCTAGATATTCTTAAGTGAGCTAGACTTAATGATAACAAAACTGTAGATATTCCCATTGAAGTTAACGCAAGATATTCTTCTTCTGATGGTTTACCTTTGACAAATCCTACTTTATACCATATTATTGTTGAGAGCTTGATATATTTCACCATTACTCATCCAGATATTGCTTATGTTGTTCATGTTATTAGTTAGTTTGTTGTTTTCTTTTACTATTGTTCACTAGATAGTTGTTCTTTCTATTTTACAATATTTTCTAAGTACAGTCTTTTAGAGTCTTTTACTTTCATCCACCTCTTCTTTAGAGCTGCGTGCATACTCTGATGCTAATCATGATAGTGATCTTACAGATCGCAAGTCTGTTACTGGTTTCTGTATCTTTTTAGATGATTCTTTTATTTCATAGAAGAACAAGAAACAATTTATCGTTTCTCAATCCTCAACCAAAGTAGAATATCGTGCTATGACATCTACTATAAAAAAAATTGTCTAGTTACATTAGTTACTTGTGGATATGAGAATTTTACTTTCTCATTCTACTTCTATGTACTGTGACAACCAGAGTTCTATTTAGATTGCTTACAACTCAGTTTTTCATGAATGAACTAGTCACATTGAGATTAATTATAATCTTATTTATCATCATCCCAAATATGATACCATTACTTCGCCTTTTTTTTTCCTTGTAGATTGCAGATTTCGTTACCAAGTCGCATTTCATTTCTCATTTTCATTTTTTAATTGGTAAACTTTCGATAATTGTAGCTGCTACATTGTGAGTTTGAACACAGATGTTAAATACTACATTTATTTAACTTTATTTATTAAAAGTATAATAATATTTTTAGATCCACAAATACTTCAAAATAAATAAATAGATTAATAAGAATTATATCCTTACTCTCTTATGTTAATTTGAATTACTTTAATAATATGCATTTTATATATTTATATTTATCACCCATCTTATATAAAATATAATTAATATTTTAGTACTTTAAAAATTATTCAGACAATTAACTTTTCATTGAGTTTTTAAACACAATAAATATTTTTTTAACTTTTTTGGTATTGATAATTAAATATCATTTTATAATTTAAACTAGACTAAATTCTATTTATTATCATATGATGTAATTTTAGCCAATGTTGAAAATTTTGGTTGAGTTATAACATTTTATTCTTCTACTTCATTCTTTAATGTCTCGGCACAAGAAAAATAAATAAAAATAATACCTTGTTTATTTAAATGTTGCCTCGTGCCCTGAAGCCAAGTTGGTTCTCTTTACTTTCAGGTCCGTAGTTAAACACACGAAGTTAATATAATTTGAACAAACAAATAAGTTTTTCTTGTTCCTCGTAATCATTAGCTCTCTCTCGTGTCAGAGTCCTGTCCTGCTGCCTGAGTCCACTCCTCTCTTTCTTTCTAAATGCGCAAAAACAAGAACCATCACAACCAAGAACAGCTCCTTAACACTCTTCAAGATACACAAGAAAAACCCTCAAAACATGGGGGGTTCACGGCCCCCTTTCATCATCACTATATTACTGCTTCTATTACTTCTATTATTATTCATGTCTGTGTCGGTGGTTTACTGCGCTAGTCTTCTTCAACTGGAGAGGGCTTTTCCTTTAAACAATCACGGTCTTGAACTCTCCCAACTTAGAGCTCGAGACCGACTCAGACATACCCGTCTTTTACAAGGCTTTGTTGGTGGCGTTGTCGACTTCTCTGTTCAAGGTTCCCCCGATCCTTACCTCGTTGGGTAATTTTTCAGCGTCCCCTCTTTCCTAATTTTAAGGTTTCTTTATATGGTTTATTTGCGATATTTAAGGTAAAAAGTTTAATTTCAGTAATGGTTTTGTTTAAAATTGGTAATTTATATGGTTTTCTTCATTTCATGCTTACATGCACACACTTAAAAAGAGCTCACGGTGGGTATTGCTTGCTTGTTATTCTTTCTAAAAGAAGAAGGAAAGGAAAAGAAAGGATATGGGATTTTTGTGCATGTTTTCTTTTAATTATATTAACTGAAGATTGATTCTTTGCTTTTGTTTATAACCAAAAAATTGATTTTTTTTGTTATTTATATTGTATGCTTAGATGATTATTATTATTATTATTGACTAATCTTGCTGTTTTTTCTTTTTGGGTTTCCATTGCAATCAGGGTCACCGGAGCTTCAGAGCCCTTGTAATATATCTGTCTTGGTTCTCTTCAGTTATTTTTTTTGGCGCTTGTCCACATTCTCTTTAGGATGGGATTTGATAACTAGTCATTTTTTAGTACTTGATGATTATAGGCGTTGATATGGTTTAATTCTCTTCTTTGTGTTTAGACTTTATTTTACAAAAGTGAAATTGGGCTCTCCTCCTAGAGAATTCAATGTGCAGATTGATACCGGAAGTGATGTCTTGTGGGTGTGCTGCAATTCCTGCAATAATTGCCCACGTACCAGTGGCCTTGGAGTAAATCCTCTTTCTTTACCTTGTCACGGGTCTTTCTATACATGTGCAGAATTTTAAAAAATAAGCCTCAACTTCCCCTTGGTACTTTATTTGCGTTAATGCAGATTCAGCTCAATTTCTTTGATTCCAGCAGCTCATCAACTGCAGGGCAGGTCCACTGTTCAGACCCAATTTGTACTTCAGCGGTTCAAACAACAGTAACTCAATGCTCTCCTCAGACTAATCAATGCAGTTACACATTCCAATATGAAGATGGAAGTGGGACATCAGGCTATTATGTGTCCGATACACTTTATTTTGATGCTATTTTTGGGGAGTCATTAGTCGTTAACTCTTCAGCTCTCATTGTCTTTGGGTAGGTTTTCTAAATTGTACTGTTGAATAAGTATGGGCGAGTTCATTTTTTTTATGATTGACAATGATTATTTGTTTAGAGAGAAGGGATAGGTACAAGACTAAAAAAATGAAGCTTAATATTTTGCTTAATTGTTGTTGTCAAAGATGTAATATGCAGTCAGTGAATCCACACAAGAGTATGGTGTTTTGCTGCACAATGACTACATGACAAATCAGTCACTACCTGGTGCTACGTGATCATAACCAGTTCACTAATGGCATGACCTTCTTATGGTAACCATTCTTATGCTTTCACAGCAAGGGGCATGTTAACCCAAAATACACAGCTATTACTGTAAAATAATATTGTTGTTGCTGGACTATTTGAATGATTTATTGCCATTTCATTCTTGTGGAGTTAACCCTTGTGACAAAATATGAGTTGTGTGCTTCCTTTGCCTTTCATCTCTCTCATACTCTCCTATTTGAATAAGTTTCTTTTGTTCCAAGATTGATCTGCCTTTTTTGTATGTTTCTTATTTCGCTAGATGATGGTGTTGAAAACAGGTGCAGTACCTACCAGTCTGGGGACCTGACTATGACTGATAAAGCAGTTGATGGGATTTTTGGATTTGGCCAGGGGGAACTCTCTGTTATATCACAATTGTCAACCCACGGGATAACACCCAGAGTGTTCTCTCATTGCTTGAAAGGAGAGGGCATTGGAGGTGGCATACTGGTTCTTGGTGAGATTCTGGAGCCAGGCATGGTTTATAGTCCACTTGTCCCATCACAGTATGTCATTTTTTCCTTGGAAACCTTTTCTTTCCCCAACAACCCAACTTCTTTAGATTGTTATCCTTGCTTTGTATAAGCAGCAGCAACTGAAATCTTATGGCCTTAGAAATGTCAAGGCAATGGGACAAGCTTTGATATTGCACATGGATTTTTAAAAGAATTTTTTTTCTAGCATCTTATTGGTCAGTTATAAGACATTTTCTTGTGCAGCTGTCACTTGTACATTACTTTTACCTTTAGCTAGGATACCATATATTACTGGTGTTTAGGAGTAGACAAGTACTTCACAGGCTTTGTTCAGTTGGTTTTGTATTTGGAATGACCTTTTAGAATAGTGCCAAGCCAGATTTGCTTTTAGGAATTCTGATTCACCTTGCCAAGCCAGATTTGCTTTTAGGAATTCTCATATTTTGCAGGAATCTTTCTAGGTATTTAAAGTGGTCACAGAAATTGGATATTTTCAATGTGAACAAGTCCAGTGAAAGAAATGAGACTTTAACTGCTTAAGAACCTTTCAAAAACTCAAAGAGTTGTTACATTTTATCACCAAATCTGCTTACTATAACACATATTTCTCTTGTGAATGTTATTGCTCTGTTGCACAACCATTTTTTTTGTTTTTAAACTTTTTGCATTCCTCATGCAAGCGTATTGCTATGGCATCTTTAGTTTGATTTTGATCAACATTAATTTGCTGTGATTTCCTTTCCAAAAATTGCAGGCCTCATTATAATTTAAATCTACAAACCATTGCTGTTAATGGTAAATTGTTACCAATTGATCCATCAGTGTTTGCAACATCGAATAGCCAAGGAACAATTGTTGACACTGGAACAACTTTGGCGTACCTTGTGGCAGAAGCTTATGATCCTTTTGTTAGTGCTGTGAGTAATTTTCCCATCTATACATGCAAAGGTTCCTGTTACAATAAACGATGTTTGCAGCTGAGAGAAATGAGCTTTAATGTATTAGTTTTGACAATCTTAAGCTATTCTAACACTATTGCTTTTTCCATTTAAAATATTAGGAATCCTTCAATATGATTGACATTTTGATAACTAAGTTATACAGAACCATGTTGCATAGTTTCATGATGAGACATTTTATGAGAAAGCAACTCATTGAGATATGATATAGGGTTTCATTCTTGTTCTCTTTGTGCTGCATGAGACAACTTGTTAAGATATTTTACAGGGACTCATTCTTGTTCTCTGGTGTCAGCCAAACATTTCTCTACAGTAACTATATCTTCTCAGTCATTCATATTTCGGCAATCCTTATCTCCCAAATACAAAGTGGACAATTAAAGTAAAAATCAGAGAATGTAAGAAAGTTTGTTTTATCCGCATGCAATCTCTTATAATTAGTAAGCTTTTTCCTAAAAAAAAATAAAAAATAATTATTTTGAGTTCTCCCAATAAGGTGATTTTAAAGAGCTGGTTTTGAGCCTTTTAATAGTGAGATAATAATGGTAGTGAAGTTATTGAACTGGAAGAACAAGGTATTGAATTAGCATGATTTAAACAATCACAACTAAATTTACTTTCAGCATGCTTAAGTTTATTTGATTGGTGAATGTCCAGGTGAATGTCATTGTTTCGCCATCTGTTACACCTATAATATCTAAAGGAAATCAGTGTTATCTTGTCTCAACCAGGTTCATTCTTCTATTTTATTTCCAAATGATGTTTTTGCTGTTATGTTACACCACAAAAGTTTTCTTTCTAGCTTTTAGTTTCCCTTTTTTCTTCCTCAATAACTTAATTGGTTTTTGTTTTTTTTTCTATGCAGTGTATCTCAGATGTTTCCCCTGGCCAGTTTTAACTTTGCTGGGGGTGCATCGATGGTGTTAAAACCTGAAGACTACCTTATACCTTTTGGTCCCAGTGTAATTTGCTGCTCTTCACTTTTGCTAACTTATTCATTTTCCCATCAGTATTGAACTGAACATGTTTAATCAGAATATATCTGCCATTGTCACTGAATGAATTGTAACATGGACCACCTCTCTCTCTCTCTCTCTCTCTCTTGTAACAGGGTGGTTCTGCGATGTGGTGCATTGGTTTTCAGAAAGTTCAAGGAGTCACTATCTTAGGAGGTTGAACTCTGAACTTCTTTTATTGACATGAGTATATCTGGGGAGAGGCTTAACCATTTCTCCTTACCATCAACTGGTCATAATGTCAGTGCTGGGGGGTGGGTAAGTTATGAAGTAGGTGGGGACTTCAATAAAACATGCACAACTTTATGGGGGGCAACATAAGTTTTCTTAAAAATAAAAAATAAAAATACAGTGCAAAGTTGGAAAATATTGGGGCTCTCTATCTGCTGGCCTTGCAAATTGTCTCTAGTGCACCGATGGTGATGTTTTTTACTCCTGCTTTTGGTGTCTGTCATTTGTTTCATCATTACTTTTTTGAAATGCATTTTACAATGACATGAATGGTTGTGCCAAATTCTGCTCTTTTGTAATGAACCTCATTGACTTACAAATCTTGTGTCGCTGAACCGGCTAACTCGTGGGTGTTCCAATGCCTTTATGCACACCTCTTACCTTTTAAAACATGTGAGTTAAACTATGCTGTTGATTGCATTGGCTTTGCAGATCTTGTTCTGAAAGATAAGATTTTTGTATATGATTTAGTACGACAACGGATTGGTTGGGCTAACTATGACTGTAAGTTCAAAAAACTATGATGGTTCAGTGAACTCATTTTCTGTTTGCCTTGCACACATGGAAAATAACCCCATACACTTCAATTCTTTCTGCCAGGCTCCTTATCTGTAAATGTTTCTGTAACTTCTAGTAAGGACTTCATCAGTGCTGGACAGCTGAGTGTGAGTAGCTCATCAAGGGACATCATGCTCTTTGAACTGCTGCCTCTGACCGTTATGGTTCTCACAATGCACCTATTATTGTTGAAGTTCAAGTTTTTGTGATCTAAACTCAAATTTAAGTTAATATAATTATGCTTATGTGATATTATACATATACCACTATAGTCAACTGTAATATAATGTTGAACAAGTAATGAAAATCATCTCTAGTTAACATTATGTTCTTTAATTAGTAAATAAGCTAAAGGAGAAATCTCATTGTGTGCATAAAACAAACCTTGTAATTAACAACTTTCCATTGAACTTTCCATTTATATGGATGTTATCCAAACTAATAATTGGCCTAGAAGACTTGAACCCTTTAATTGCAGGACCAAATGCCTAAAAAACTCTACCAAAAACAATTATTTCACCATCAAGTTATCCATTATGTTTCCACTCAACAACTTTTCTAGTATTTTATTCTTGTAAATCCACAAATAATCTAGATAACATTTCAAATAAGTCTCAATGTGTTCCAAAAAATTCCTCAAGTATTTTTTGTTTTGCGACCCATGCTTTATAGTAAGAAATTTTAAATTTATAGTGCAATTTAATTTCTTCTTGTATGTTGGAAACAATATAGACGAGGTTATCTTGAACAAAAGTTACAACCATTGATACAATAAATTTAATGTTAAGCTTATGATGTTTTTTGTTTTTGTTTTTATATGTATGTATTGGTACATGTGTGTTTACCTTTTAATTTTACTATCTCAAAGGAATTTCACCTTTTATGGTATTTCCATGTAAGTACCATTGACATTCAAGTGCATAAACACATTGTAATCAAACAAATATTTGGTATGAATATTGAATGTGATATTCAAGTGAATATGCAATATGTCATTGCTTAACAATATTCACTAAATCATCTTTAATTTTAAAAGCTTGTCCAATAACTAAATCACCACTACCAACTGATTTTTTACGATAAACAAACCAATCATTATAAATCATATCATCAACTTTAGTATCATGATCAAAATCTAAAATAGGAAGCCTCATCATCATCATCATCTAATGTTTCAATTAAACTCATAACACCCTTATATTGGAAGTCATACCTACACTGTTATCTTCATTATCACTAGGATCAAAGAATCACGATATACAATTTTAATTTTATTTTCATCACAAATTCCTATAGCCCTCACAAATTCCCATAACCCTCATTAGAATAATTGTTTCTTCAGTTCTTCCTCTTCTATGGAATTATCAGTAAAGATCTTCAAGGAAATAAATTATAAAAATTTTTTTTCAAGGGTTTTTTTATTAAATAAAAAAAAAAAATTTCAAGGGTTTTTTTATTAAATAAAAAAACCTAATGACACAACTAAAAGATTGATGTATTCTCCCAAGTGCAGGAGTGTCGAAGTAATAAATAACCCGGCAAGACTGGAGTGGAACCACAGGGAGGTCAATTGTACAAATTATAAATGACAATAATACAACAACAATAATAATAACAACAACAACAATAATAATAGTAGTAGTAGTAGTAGTAGTAATAGTAGTAAAGAAAAAGAAGGAGAAGAAGATGAGAACTTTAAGATGGAATATTAATGTAA